ATAATATGTCCTTATTTCTATTTTGTTCAACCATTTCTATATTAAAATCACCTGCCATTAGCAAAAGTTTCTTTTCTGAGCATATTTTATGTAAGATTTCTTCTAGTTTATTGAAAAATTTTTGTAAATTACCAGTTGGTGGTCTATAGACTGCAACAACAACTATATTTTTATTTTCAATGCACACTTCCCCTGCTGCACACTCAAATTCTCCGTACCCTGAAAGCTTCTGTAGTTTATTTCTGTGTTTACCATTTATTGATTTATGTATGTATATAGCTACTCCTCCATAGGCTCCTGCAAGTCTGCAATAGCTCGTTAGTAGAGAGAAGTTCTTAATTGCTTTTGTACCTAACTGGTCCTCAGATTTCCAATGCTCTGTGAAGCATAAAAGTTTGCATTCTTTGTATTTCTCTAATTCACATTCTATCCTGTCAATCACATTACCATCATTACCTATTGATTGTGAATTCTGATGTATCAATCCAATTTCTCTAGGTTTCTTGAATGTGTTTGATGTTGATGATGCTTTGCTATGGTCGTTTTTTTCCGCTTTGTTGTTTTTGCTTGTGTTTGTGCTTCTTTGGGTGTCTATTATAAAAAAATCACCTCCATTGGTTTTTTGGTGGATATTGAACTTATATCTTCTTATTCCTACGTTAGGGGGCCAGAATGATGTTTCGTACATCTTGTCTTTTTTGACTAGAGCTGCCGTCACAACAAAACTCTTTAAATTTGACTTGGTTGTAAGTTCTGACACCATGATTTTCAAGCTCTCAAATCCGGGTTGTTTTTAAATATGTTTTTCGACCATCTCCTTTGTAACGTGGTTGTTTACACGATAAATGTTCAACTATACATTGCGTTCGGGTCCTGCAAATCCCTTTGTAACTTCTTCTTGCGTAGCTGTTTCTGTTCCAAGATGCCTTTTCAAATATCTTTTTCTGTGCTGTACCATTGTGTAACCATCTCCTTGCTATGATGATATTTCATCCTGTTGTTCTGGAACAATATTTACATCTAGTTTTTCATTTTCAATGTAGTGTTATTCTTTTTGTTTTGTTGACATTTGCAAATTTTTTTGTTTTTGTTGTGATTGTGTGGATAACATTTCAACTCTGGTTCTGGGCATTTGCTGGCTCTTCTCGTTTTCCCTGATGTTTTGTTTGGCAAAGTCGGAGAATTTTTGAGGTTGAAGCTGTTTGTTTTGGTTTTTTTCAAGAGTATTATTTATGTGCGTTCTTATTCTCATCGGTGGATTCACCGATGAGTTCGCTATCTTTGTTTAGTGAATGGAAAATGACAATGACCGACATAGAATGGTGGATCCATCGGTAAAATTTGATGAGAATAAAAACGCAGGGATTTATTCTTTCCACCAGTAATCTATTATTTTCCTTTAGGACACTTTTATTTTCTTCTAAGATGTCGTTCTTTTCTTGTACTTCGTTTAGCAACCTATTCAGGTACTCGATTTTTACCTCTAGCAACCTATCATTATTTTTTTCTGTTTCTTTATTGACTTGATTCTGGTTTCCCGCCACTTTTTTACAACAAACAATGTGGCCGCTACTAATAACTTTTAAATTTTTCCTTTTTGCACAGGATATAAGGTGAGCACTGTTACAATTTACGCAGATTTGGATTTTGCACACTTTTTTGACATAACATTTATAGATATTTTCGAACTTTTCCGAGCTTTTGCTGCCTTTTTTGCTCTCGCTGTTGCTGAGATCATTCTCGCTAGACGCCATTTTTAATGATCACAAAAATTAGAGAGCCAGTAGAGAATACAAAACATGATTATCAAAAGATAAAAAAATAACATAGAATATGGATCAGTGAAATCATACAATTTACAAAATAAAGAAATAGCAGAGAGATACAAAAAAAAATTAACAGAAAGATTCTCTAATGATACGCATAAATGAAAATACTAATGTAGAAGACATGTGGAAGTATTTTAAGAAAATAGTTATGGAGACAACAAAAGAAATATGTGGCACTAGTAAAAAAACTAATAAGAAAAAACAAACAGCATGGTGGACAAAAGAAATAAAGAGACAAGTAAAATTTTAAAAAAAGGCATGGAAGATTTATATAAACAGAACAACTCAAAATTATGAAAGGTACAAAGAGAGCAGAAAAACAGTAAAAGATATGGTAGCAGTGGCAAAACGAAACCAATGGGAAAAATTTGGTGAAAAAAATAGAAATAGATAGCAAATTAAATCAAAAACTATTCCACAAAACTTTGAAGTCATTACGAAAAGAGAAAGTACAAGAAATAAGTTGGATAAAGACGGAGAGAGGCTAACAAATGAAAACGAAATAATGAATGGATGGAGAGAATATTTCCAGAAGTTACTAGGAGCTGACGAAATAGTACAAAGTGAAAACAAAGAAAATGATGCGATAGAAGAAAATCAAGAAAATGAGGAAAATATACCCATAAACGAATTGCAGGAAATAATAAAGGAATTGAAGAATGGAAAATCATCTGGAACAGATAAATTAACAGCGGAAATGTTTAAAAATCTAGGGGATACAGGAATGGAAATACTACTAAGAATATTCGATACATCGTGGGAAAAAGAACAGATACCGGAAGATTGGAAAACAGCTCTAATAGTTCCAATATACAAAAAGGGGGACAGGCATGATTGTGATAACTATAGAAGGATAAATCTACTTAGTTCAGCAATGAAAATATATGAGAAAATTAAAGGCAGAAAAATAAGCCAAAGAATAGAGAATACCCTCGAAGAGTCACAAAGTGGGTTTAGAAAAGGCCGAAGCATACAGGATCACATATTCACAGTGAAACAAATAAATGAAAAGTTCTCACAGCAAGGAAAAGTAGTATTTATGGGATTCATAGACCTTGAAAAAGCTTTCGATAAAGTGTGAAGAGAGAAGGTATGGAAAATATTGGAAGAGAGGGGAGTTAATACTAAAATAATAAGAATAATTAAAAACATATACAAGAATAATATTAGTAAACTGTGTAATATATAGAAATAAAATATCAGAAGCATTTTCAACGCAAGAAGGATTAAGGCAAGGAGGAAAACTAAGCCCATTATTATTAGCAGAATGACAAAATTACACGTGGGACACTGGAATCTAAAAAAAGTAGATGTATCAGAGGGAGCTTTTGCAGATGATGTAGTAATTATGGCAGAAAAAGACTTACAACAAAAATATAGAAATTTGGAATGAGGTTTGTGAAGAATTCGGAATGAGAGTAAATAAACACAAAACTAAAGTTATGGCTATAGGAGAGAAACAAATGGATATAAATGTACAAATAGATGGAATAAAAATCGAACAAGTAAAAACATTTAAGTATCTGGGAGTAGAAATAGAAGACAATGTCAGGCAAGAAATAGAAATTAACAATAGAGTAGAAAAAACAACAAATCTTTACTCCATGATGAAATCGGCGTTTATAAATAAAAAATAAATTTCAAGGAAAACAAAGATTAATGTATTTAAAACAATATATCGGCCAATTTTAACATTTGGATGTGAATCATGGGGATTGACAAATTGAAATGAAGTATCTCAGACGAATTAGAGGTGTCACAAAGATAGATAAACTGAGAAATACACAAATAAGAAAAGACCTTGACATAGTGAATTTACCCGGAGATTAAATTTAATTGGAAATTTTAATCATAGATTAAATTCAAAGTTGGTGTCAAATGATAGTTTATAAAAATCTAAGACAGGAATGTTAAATCGGTTTTCCTCTAAAATTAACCTTTTAGATTTTACAACCTGTCAAAGTTGCAAAAAGTCAATTTTCAACTGTCAATATTTCCGAAATGGTTGAAGATAAGTATAGGACATGTTTCATGAAAAACACTTAAAATTTTATCAAAAATCCTTTGAAGTTGAATAAATTTAGAATTCTATCAGAAATCCGAAATTGTAAAAAAAATTAGGGGTGTCCATTTAAAAAAATTAGGTTACTAACTGTCCAGCTTTGCTGCGACCACCCTGTATAATAATTTTATTTTTTAAAAAATGCTTGACAAAAAATAAAATTGACGTGTTCGAGAATTTTTCAAAAAAAATGCTTGGAAGAATAATTATTGAATTTATTCCTTACTTTACGGCCGCACTGTATAAATTCGAGCACAGCAATAATAAGTTAGTTCATTAGTTCGCTTCACTGAGTTCACACGTTATTAATTAAGTAATAAAGATTTTTAAAAACACAAGTTGCTTAATTTAAAACATAACTGTTGTATAAACGCGTTCAAAATTGTGCTCATGATTAAGACTGTGATTATGATTATGATTATGCAAATTAGATTAGATTATTCAAACAAAATTTATTCAAAAAATGACGTTGTCTGGTCTATTTCATAATGAGTGAAATAATCATTCCTATTTTTCTTTCTATAATATTTATCTTGCATTTTTCATATTATTGTGTGATGAAAATGTTGCCGGTACAATTTGTTGTAGGTATATAGAGAGCTCGAGCAAAGAAATCAACTCAGGTTAACGCGAGAAGGCAGTAGGTTCCTTCGAGCAATGAATAAAAAGACTGTTTATACCTTAGATAGCAAACCGAACAAAGCGTCCCATGACGAACGTCATTGTTTCGCTTTGAGCTTATTGAATCCGCCCCCTGAACTAAGTCCGAATAAACCTATTAGTGCATTTTGTGTTTTTTTTGTTAATGAACTCTGTTTTTTTTATTGACTTCATTAGTGTTTTTTTCAATTAAAAATGCCACAAGCGTGTCTTTTAGTTGGTTGTGAAAGTAGTTCCAACAAGGTAACAAGGATGTTTTCTTTCTTTTTCTTTTCTTCTCAATTTTTTGAATGTTTTTGATATGACTTCATGCGTTTTGTGTTTTGGTTCTTTTCTCTTCTTTTTCATCTCTGTATTTCAAACACGAAATGAATGAATTAATATTTAGTTAATTTGCGATTACTGAACATAAAAATATTGAATATACAACTGAATTTGATTTTTTTCAGGACTCTCCCCACCAAATGCCACCACAGCAACTGCCCCCACAAAACATGCCTCAACCACGTTCCCAACCTCCACCACACCAGCAACAACGGCATGATGGTCCTCCAACACCCCAAGCGCAAGAGGGTCTAAAAGACCTCCAAGCGTTTTCCCACGACTTCAAGTTGGCCTCAATGCCTCCCCATACAAGTCCAACTTTACCTCCTGTACAGCACGTGCCCCAAGGCATTCCTCCGCAGGCTCCTCCTCACATGTCTGGAGCGGAATCTCCACAGTTGGTGCCTCACATGGGACCGCCACCAGTGCAAGCACACAGCGCTGGAACTTCACCTAACAGTAGCAGTAGCAACCTTAGTACTATAAATAGGCAAGTTGAGCAAAAAAAAAACTTGTCCTTAGAACGATGTTAATCGGTATTATGTCGTTTTTAGTAGTGTAGCAGATCAAAGTCAGTCATCTGGAGGATCACAAAAACAGCCTAGCCCAGCACAAAGTCCTCAAAGTAATGAGGGTGAAAAATTGCAAAATACTGTTGCCAAGTCTAAATTGAATCCTAATGCCAAGGAGTTTGTGTGGAATCCAATTGCTAAGCCGTACCAACCCAGGTAAGAAAACACTTTCATCTCCAACCTGATTCAATTCAGGAGTTGTTTATTTATACTAATTTTAAAAATTCAACTAAAAATCCTCACTAATTTTTAGGTCTCCAAGTACTCCATCAGCTAGCAGACCTCATACTCCTCAGACTCCTTCTCACAGTCCTTATATTGCTGTGAGTGGACCTGGAGGGCCTCAAATGCCTGTTATGATGCCTATGCACTACATGACTATTAGCCAGCCTCAGTATCAGCCTCCTCCACCACAGCAAAACAGAATTAGGAAAAGTAAGGGAATTTTATTATTTTTAGATTTTTAGTTTTCCCAAGTTTTATTATCTGTACCTAACGATCTCATGTTAGTAGTTTGAATTAAATACCCTAAAATATTATTTAATATATTAGAATTTTTTACTCTCAAGAAGTGTAAATCTAATAGGTCTGTTTCCACAGAAATCACAAACCAGTCAGAGCGTTTCTGATTGGTCCAAATCGCGAACAACCAGTTTCCTGACTATTTTCAACCAATGAAATTCGCTCTGACTAGTTTGTGATTTCTGTGGAAACAGACCTAAAACATACATACATACATACTTATATACATACATACCAGTGGCGGCCAGTGGCAACCTAGTGTGGTTGTGCGCTCTTGGAAATTTTTTTGGAGGTGCCACGTCCTGTTTTACATTTATTTTGTATGTTGATTTTTTTTCTTTTTACTTTAGGAAAAATTATCGAAAACAAAAATATATGTATTTAAATGAGGCTTGAATGTTTGTATTCTAGCCATAATACATAATTGATATTGAAATTTATAATTAAAAAAAAAAAACGCGAACAACAGAGTTGTCAATCCGCCAAAATGGTGAAAAAACATCGATATATTCTCGATTGAGTGGAAACAACATTGGAAGTGTGTATTCAAATAGCGCACGACGCATCCCTTCCATCGGGCGACTTACCGTATATTCCCGATCAATCGCACAGCGAGAAAACACATCTACCCAGAGCGCCGAACGATTCCACACCGACCACCCGGAACACCAGCACAACCAAGCGGGAGAAAAAAATATACAAGACAGGGCGCACTTTCGTTCCGTTCGTGCGAATTTAAAAATAGAAAAATGAGTAGATATTTATCCTAATTTAGAAAATTAGGTAGGTATTTTTTAATTGAAGTTTCTTTTCTTTCCAAAATTTTAATTTTATTTTCTTGCTTGGTTTTTGGAGGCAGTGCGCGACGAGCGCACTTATTGAGAAGCCGCCCCTGATACATACATACATAATTTTTATACTTTTGTTCTAGTTCCAATGGGCCAAATTCGCACGGACATGGCGTCACAAATGCAACATGCAGCCGCCGTTACGGGTCAACCTCTATTAGCTCCAGCCCCAATTCCTGCTCAATTTATATACAATCCACAAGCAGCCGCAGCTGCAGCGGCTCACAATATGAACCAAGCAGCCTACCAACCTGCTACAATGGCTGCGATGCACGCTATAAGAATGTATGATGCTGCAGCTGCGGCCGCTGCACCTCAGCAGATGTCCTATATTACTCAGCCTCAGCCGAGTGGTACTCCGTCGCCTGCGCAGCAATACAATCAAGCAGTGCAACAACAGCAAGGACCTCCGCAGGGCTATCAGACTGTTCCGCAGCAACAGCCACCGCCTCAGATGCCCATGTTTTGTATTCCCACACAACCTCACATGTTGCAAAATGTTCCATATTTGCAGCAAGTGCCACCCCCACACCACCAACAACAACACGTTCAGGTAAGTCGGAAAATATATTGAAGAGTGTGGTTTATTTGACCATGTCTCTCTGTCCAATACGAGGTTCAATACGTACAGAGCTGGGAAGTACAGTGGAACTTACTTAGAATAGACTTGTAACTTGTCAAATAGAAACTCTTTCAATCTTCTCCTAGTTCAGCTAATTCTAACAGTTACTTTCACATTCGCTTTTACTACCCAATACCAGACAACCTGGAGGCTTAGAATTTCTAGTGTATAATTATATTTACTGGGCTCTAGCATTTACTACAACAACAATATTGGCATTTTCTAATTGAACTGCTTCAGTTTTTAAAACCCCATTGTGTTGCAGGTTATCTGGATCATAATTGATGAAACACATTTTTGACTTGATGTCTGAAGAATTAGAATTTATTACAAGTCTTCATTACACTATTTTAGCACCTGTGTCCAGATTCCAAACCCACAATTCGATCGTCTATCGTCTACTACTTTTGCACTAGTTTATTTGGCATGACATGGTGCACTCCTGTGGCTGCGTTTGGGTTCACACTCAGTGGAGCGTGCAGAGCGATCACAGAGTAACGTGACATCACAGGAAGTGCTCTGTGTCAAGCCAAATAAACTCGTGCAAAAGTACCTGACAATAGACGATACTATGGAATCGTGGCTTTGGAATCCGAGCCCTTATTTACTCACATACTCTGTAGCGCTACAGCCTCTGTTGGGCTTTGGCTGACGCGACGACTTGCCTCCATGCGACACGATCACGATCGGTCTCGGTCATGCGCTTCATGCCATTTCCGATGCCCAGTTTTCTCAGATCCGAAGCAATGTTGTCCCGCCATATCAGTCTGGGTCATCCAAGTGGCGTTTTCTCCTCTGAGGCTTTCTGCCATACCAGTCTTATTAGCCTTTCTTTGGGTCGCCTGCGCACGTGTCCTGCCCATCTAAGCCGTTTAGTCTTTATTATATTGCACAGATCTGGTTCATCGTATAGGTCTCTCAGTTCTGCATACGTTTTACTTCTGTATTGCTGCGTCTGTGGGTCCTTCGTCGAGCAGTATATTTTTCTAAGTATTCGCTTTTCAAATCTGCGGATGACCTCCTCATTTCGTACCATTAGTGTCCACGATTCGCAGCCGTATTGTTCGTCGATTTTTAACTGACACTTGCGGTATGAGGAGCGAGGGGGTGTTTCATATGGCAAAAACAGGTGTGATTTCAGGTAACCATTGGCGTTCTAATGTAGGGAGCCACCAGCTGACATTCCGTCCGAGTATCAGTTAAAAATCGACGGACAATACATGAAAACAGGTCTGATGACAGTTTGTAGTGTTTGCGATTTTCAGTCGGTACTTGATTTCCCCATCGATGTCATTGTCGGCTGTGATGATCGCAACCAGCAGTGGAATTCCGTTTCTCGATCTCTATCAAATCCGCCATATTTTTCCGATTATCGCGTTTCCATTTCACGAGCACCGATTCGATATTCGATTTTTATATTCGACTCACAAAGAGGAGTCGAATGTCGAAATAACTAATGACAGTCGTTAAAAAAAACTTCATTTGAGGTGTCAATTAATTTTATTAATTTTTTTATTCAAACCGGAGTTTTTTTATTGTGTGATCTTAAAACTGCTCAAAGTTCTACAAAAATAAAAAAATGGCATTTAGAATGCGTGAACCGCATTAAGCCGGTCCCAGACACTACGTGTATTCGGCGAATATTCGGTATTCGGGTTTATTCGCGTAGCGTGTGGGAGGGTAACTTTGGCGAATATTCGTCCTTCGTCATTTTCCCGCCGATTGTCGGTAAACTGGCACGAAGCAAGAGAAGGCGAATAACGAATATTCGCCGAATACACGTAGTGTCTGGGACCGGCTTTGGGAGATGCTGGTTACTTTCCTTGAGGCCAACCAACGCATCTCTGGTAAGAGCCTACTGCATAGTACCTTAGAGCACAAAATATTTTTGACTCAAAATCAACACCTTTCATGCTCTTACGGTCTTCTAACAATGGCCTTAACTCTTCCATTAAATTTCGCACCAATCTGAAAACATTAAATTTTATTAAAAAACTCATAAGCATCATCTTGAACACTGTTACCTCTTGTCCAGACGAAAAAGTTCTCTAAATCTTTGGTCAGGAAAATCAAATGGGTTTGACCTGGATCTAAGAGATATACGCCTTCGTATTAGTTCTCGTCTTTGTCTTGCAATAAAATCCAATCACGTACAACGGGTAACATTTTATGATTGTTTATGATTTTTCACTCAAATTGTGCTGAATGAGGTTATGTTCTCATATTTTCTTCTATTTTCTCAGTAGTTCAAAAATTCATCTGAATTTAACCTAAACCCCGACGATTACCGAATACATTTTCGATCGAAAAATGGAATAGCTTTGAACAATACGATCGACTAACCAATCGTGACGATATCGGATAGCTCGACGAAAAATGGAATTCCACTGCAGGTACTTGAACTGCTTCACACTTTGTCCAACTCTCCCTCTGCGTCTCCTAGAGATATGCATGTATCTAGTCTTGCCTTCGTTGATCTTTAGACCCATTTTAGTTGCCTTGTGCTCCAATTTAACAAACGTTTCTTTGCGATTTAATAAGTTAGTTTCCACCACTTCAATATTATCTGCATAAGTATTAGTTGCGAACCATTCGCCTGGAAGAGCTCTGTTCGAGTTTGGAGTCCCTGACAACCTTCTCCAAGGCAATATTGAAGAGTCGGGGACAGCAAGTCACCCTACTTCAATTTCGTATTTACCCTGAATACATCCGACTGGAACCTTTTACACAAACTCTTGTTAGTCTTATAATCTTATGAGGTATATCGAATTCTGCCATTGTTTCACACATGTTTTCACACTATCATAGGCCTGTTGGAAATCTATAAACAGTTGGTGTATCTCCCTATCGAATTCCCAGCTTTTTTCTAGTAGCTGTCTAATTGTGAATAGTTGGTTGGTTGTTGATCGGTTTGTGAATGAGGTTATTCGCTAGAGGATTATATTTGATAGAACTTTGTATGCTACGTTTATGAGCGATATTCCCCTATAGTTTTTGCATATCATTCTGGCTCCTTTTTTGTGTACAGGGAATGACATTTTGCCATTGTGAAACACAAGTAATTTAAATAAATTAAAAAAAGTACAGGTCACAAATATGTAATGTGTAAACGCAGCTGGGCAAGCTACTTGAAAAAAGTAGCTGGCTACAAGTTACAAGCTACTTTATATTGTAAGTAGCTAATTTACTTAGTAACTCAACTACCTCTTTAAAAAAAAGCTAAGCTATTGGTAACTTAACTACATATTGAATTAATGAAAGCTACTTTTTTAATAGTTAAATTAATAAAAACAAAAAAAAAAGGCACAATGTACCGTATCCTAATAAGAAAGGACGCTGGCTATATCTCAGGAACTATTAGTCCTAGAGCTTCCAAGTAAGATTTTTTTCATAAAATAGGCCATGAAAAATTGCTGGAAATAGTTTTCAAGTTTGTAAGTTGACCGCTAGGGGGCGCAACGAACACTCGAAAACATAATACATACTGTGATTATCTTCAAAAAACACCCACTAAAGGTATACTAAAAATATGATTATTGAAATCTTGATAAGATTACGAAAAAATTTTGTTTAGGATTTTTTGCCCTAACTCTTCAAACAAGAGGTTGGGGAAGGTTCAAACTTGTTAGGAACAAAAGTTATATAACTTTTTTGTTTTTCAACCGATTTTAATGAATTGGGTGTCATTTGGAAGAGTTTTTTCTGTTCAATAAAATGCATAACAAAAATAACAAAATTAAATTGTTTTGTTGCCGCTAGGGGGCGCTGTGTCTAAAAGTCGACAATTTTCCATTTTTTCTCGGAAATTTCAAATATAATTATGCTTTTTTTATAATTTAGATGGAAAGAGGATAAAAAAAATAAGGAATCTGGTCAAAACCGCAAGTTTGAATCTTTATCCTAGCCCAAAATATAAATAAACGAATATTTTAGGTAAGAAAATTTTCAATAGTAATATAACTAGTGCAATGGAAATTATTGATAATTTTTGGGAAATTTGCCCGAATGCATTTTTAGTTTAGTTTAGTGCCTTTTTCAGTTAAAAACGCATGAGTGCAAATTTGTCGAAAATTATAAATATATTTCCATTGCACGAGTTGTATTTAATGAGAGAATTTCATAAATCAAAAATTCAAATTTTTTGTCAAAAAATGTCAACACACCAGTTTTCGCACCAGTTAGTATGCAATTATCTGATAATTTGCACTAGTGCAAATTATCGCGTAATTACAATCTGATTGGTTCAAATCAACAATCAAAACATGTCAATTTATTGTTGGAATACCAGTTTTGACAGATGTATGAAATTCTCAATAGTAATATAACAAGTGCAAAGGAAATTATCGAGAATTATTGGGAAATTTGCCCGAATGCATTTTTAGTTGAATAAGAGCACGAGTGCGGGTCAGTTAAGTTAGCCCCCCCCTATAAAAAATTTCTGGATGAAAATTATCCCATAATTTTGCTCTCATTTTGCTCCACTAATTTCGATTTTTGCTCCATTACAGTGGCGAGACTATTTGGTATATTAGGTGGGGGGGGCTGAATTAACGCTAGCTCCCCCCAGTGAAAATTCAGAAATTTGATTATGCTCATTTTGTTCTCCGAGTTTTGCTCCATTATCGGCAAGTTATGCTCCATTACCAGGAGAGACCTACAGAGCTCCCAAAAATCTCTACTAGCCCCCCCGGTAAAAATTTTCAAATTTGAACATGCTCATTTTGTTCTCAGAGTTTTGCTCCGTTTTGCTCCATAATCGGCGAGTTTTCCTCCATTACCAAGAGAGACCTACAGAGCTCCCAAAAATCTCTCCTCCATTCTTCTCTGCTTCTAATCACTACTGTGAAATGTTTGTCCAGGTGCTGTGTTTTAGTTATATCGTCCCTGGGGAGCTCGAGGAGCGGAATAAGCTTGGTCAGAGATGCTAGTTCTCTCCATCCTAGTCAACCTCCCTCGGCAGCTCCTTCCCTCGTGATTCTGGTTATTGCTCGTCTGGCAGTCCCCTCCGCCACAATATGAAGAGGTGCGAGACCTATAATTGTCTCGATGGCTGCTGTGGGACAAGTTCTCATTGCGCCTGTAATGCATGTGCAGGCCAGGCGCTGTAGTTTGTTGAGAGCTGCTTTTATGTTCTGCTTCTCAACTGCATTGAACCAGACTACCGATCCGTATACCTAGTAAATAGAGTTGGTCTTACTATCATGGTGTACATCCATCCCAAGATCCCTGGTTTGCATCCCCAGGATTTGCCCGCGAGGCTTCGGCACACCATAAGAGCCCTCGTAGCCTTGGTTACAGCTCCCTCGATGTGTTTGTTCCATCTGAGTTTGCGGTCCAGCTTTACGCCGGGATATCTGACTTCCGATGCCGGTATAATGATAGTTTCGTATATCCGGATATCCTTCATTCTAGAAAGTTCTCTCTTCCTAATGAAAGGCACTACAGTGGTTTTCGATGGGTTTATCTCCAGTCCCACTGTTTTACACCAATCCTCCGTTGCTTTAAGTCCGGTCTGTATGAGTTCACACAGGATGCCCTCGAACTTTCCTCTTGCCATGATGACGATGTCATCGGCATACCCAACGCAGTCCAGGCCCAGGTTGTTCAGTATTTCTAGCAAGCTCCACATCAGAGGTGAGCATACTCCGCCCTTGGGAGTGCCTCTAGTGGTGCTCACCTCAATGGACTTGGCGCCTAAAGAATTCTCTGCTGTCCTTGTGGCAAGCATCCTACACATCCATCGGGATATTGTGTCGTTGACTTCCCTTCTCGCTAGTGCTCTCCGAATGGCCACATGGGATGTGTTATCGAAGGTGCCAGCGATGTCTAGGAAAGCGCACAGTGCGACTTCTTTCCCTTCCAAAGATTCTTGTATCCTACTCGTCAGTTGGAACAGAGCTGTCTCGGTGGATCTACCTGCTCTAAGCCTGCTGACTTGCGTTCAGCAGCCGCCTTTCCAATGTAGTGAATCTGATATAGCTATCTACTGCCTTCTCCATTGTCTTTAAAAGGAACGATGTGAGGCTTATTGGCTTGAAGGCTCTGGGGTCTGTCCCGTCCTTCTTGCCTACCTTCGAAATGAAAGTGACTCTTGCCCTTCTCCATATTTGAGGTATATATCCCGTTGCCATGCTGCTTCTGGTTATATCTACAAGGTGCGGCATGATCTCTGTTTTTCCTCTTTGTAGGAGTGCTGGAAAGATCTCGTCCACTCCTGTCGATTTCAGAGGTTCGAATGTGTACAATGCCCATTCGAACCGCTTATTGCTGAGTACTACTTTTGCTATTTCCCAGTCCTCCCTTGTGGGGCGTCTGGGGTATGAACTTTCCTCACTTCTGTTTGTACGTTTGCTGCCTGGGAAGTGTTTGCTTAAAAGAAGAAGCGGGATAAAACAAAAAAAAATCTTATTTTTTTACGGTACTATTAAATTAGTAAGAAGATCTAATTGCGTATCTGAAAGTGAATAACTATAGTTATTTACATTTCAAGCTGCAAAAGCGTACTTTTAGATGCGCTTCGCTTCGCCTCGGCTATTTGAATACCTCCGAGCACCTAACAGGACTTCTGCAGCGTGTAATGTATTAAACTTTTCATCCTTCCCCCTCAAAAATCGTGAATAGGCATGTGAAAGTGGAACGTGCTAGTAGCGAAAGTGAAAGTAACTACTAGCATGTTTCACTTTCACTTTCGCTCGCCTATGCAAGATAAAAAAATCTACTTTTGTGGGGGGGAGCATGAAAAGGGTTTTGGTAGCGTGTAAAGTATTAAACTTTTCATTGTTTCCTTCAGGAATAGTATATTACATATCGAGGTGGAAAGTGTTTTATAACTGTCGAGAGATTTTACAACGATTAGACCGAGGCGCAGCCGAGGTTTAACTAAAATCTCGAGATTAATGAAACTTTCAACCGAAGTACAATTTTTTAAATGATTTTTGTTGGGGTTTTGATATGCTTACCTGGATACTATTTTATTTACAATCATTGGAATTTTGTTATTTTTATTTCAATGAAAACTAAAAATATACAATAAATTTCAACAATTTCATTTACTTTCGGCTAACGGGAGGAAAGTAAACTTTCAACCCGTGGGTGAAAAGTAAAAGTCAAAAAAGTGACATTTTCAAACTTTTCAAAAGTCAGAAAAGTCAACACTACATGTATGATTGTAAATAATAGTATTTTACATTACGAGTGTAGAAAGTGACGAATTTCACACGATTGTATGAAAGACGCTTTCTTACGAGTGATGTACACCATTTTTCCTACGACCAGAAACTGATTTACATTAATTTTTTCTCATTTTATTTCTTTTCATTATCAACACACGTGCTGAAAGTACTTTCAATCCACGTATTAAAAGTAAATTGTTATGTCAACAGTATTTTCCACACGTGTGCTGAATGTACTTTTAGCACGCGTATTGAAAGTACTTTCAGCACGCGTGTGATATTTAGCGCTTTCCAAAGAACCAGCTAGTGCGAATTTTGTCATTTTCGTTTGTGGTTGTAGGAAAAATGTTTTTTTATCTTGAATAGGCAAGCAGAAGTGAAAGTAATGACTAGCATGTTTGACTTTCGCTTTCGCTTGCCTATTGAAGATAAAAAAATGTTTTCCCGAGGGGAACAATGAAAAGTTTAATATATTACACGCAACAAAAGCCCCTTTAGGTGCTCGGAGGTATTCAAATAGCCGAGACGGAGCGAAGCGCACCTAAAAGTACGCTTTCGCGGCTTGGAATGTAAATAACTATAGTTCAATCAATTTCAATTCTTGATATCGTGGATTGGTAGCTACTTTCAGACACACAATCAAGGAAGGCAAGAAGGTTTTTTCTGAAAATTTTCTTAATAATAATATATGTTCATTTATATTTTGGGCTAGGATAAAGATTCAGACTTGCGGTTTTCACCAGATTCCTTATTTTTTTATCCTCTTTCCATCTAAATTATAAAAAAGCATCATTATATTTGAAATTTCCGAGAAAAAATGGAAAGTTGTCGACATTTAGACACAGCGCCCGCTAGCGGCAACAAAAGAATTTAATTTTGCTATTTTTGTTATGCATTTTATTAAATAAAAAAAAAACTCTTCCAAATGACACCCGAATCATTGAAATCAGTTGAAAAACAAAAAAGTTATATAACTTTTGTTCCTAACAAGTTTGAACCTTCCCCCACCTCTTATTAAAAGAGTTAGGGCAAAAAATCCTTAACAAAATTTTTTCGTAATCTCATCAAGATTTCAATAATCATATTTTTAGGTTACCTTTAGTGGGCGTTTTTTGAAGATTATTACAGTATTATGTTCTCGAGTGATCGTTGCGCCTACTAGCGGTCAACTTACAAACTTGACTTACTATAGAATAATAGTTCCTGAGATATAGCCGGCGTCCTTTCTTATTTGGACACCCAGTACCTCAACTCATTTAATTTCATAAAAATAATAATAATATGGCAATAAAATTTTAACTTACTCTAGGAATTGCAGTATTCATATTTTTGTCAAAAACCACTGGAAATTTATTAAGTTCACTTTGATCATAGTGATCTGGGAATGCGAGAATAAAACAGGACACATAGGACATAGGTACAGAGAAAAGTTGAAACTAGTCCAAACCTAAACAAGGCAGGATAAGATTTTTCCGGAAAAATAATAATTGTAGCTTTAGCAATAAAAGTAACTTTAACTACCAAACGTAGCTTAAGTAGCTAGCTACTTTTCACAGTAGCTTATAAATACATCGAATACAATACCAAAAGCAACAGCTACAAAGTACTTTTTTTAAAAAGTAGCTTGAATAGGTTATTTAGCTACCAAAAAAGTAGCTAAGTTAGTAGCTTAACTACTTGGTAGCTAGCTATTGCCCAGGTCTGTGTATAAATAACGAAAATAATTACAAAACACAATGGTATATAATAGCATAACAAAAGGGAGACGCGCATCTATATATAGTGACGCCACAGTTGTATCAGCGCTTGTCAATAATAGGCAATCCTCTTTGCGCTTATAGTCTTTGGTTTGTGTCGATCAATAGTTGTCTTGCTCCTTCTCTTTGCGTCATATCTTTCATCTCTCTCGAGTAACAAAATTTCTCCGTGAGGCGTTTTCAAATCTGTTACCATTATTGTCCAAATATCAGAACGCCGCCTAAGAAGTTTCAAATGTAATAGTTGTAGATAATATCAGAAAGTTTTCAATGATGTAAGTTACAAGTATACAGGGTGTGTCACAACAGTGTGGCGAAGCAAAGTTATACTTTTTAAAATTATTGTCTCATTGGATTAGCCTTTCAAATCTGATTCCAAATAGACAGAGCTGCCACAAATACTGGTAAATAGTATTTCAAATATCAAGTATCAATTACGAGAAATTCACGTTGCAAGTACAAATACTAAATACTTCCAATTTGAAAAGTACTTCAAGTTTCAAGTACTTCAATTTAGTACATGTTTTTTTCAAGTAAAATAATTCAAATATTCTGTAAGTATTTCAAGTTCTTAATTAAATATTTGAAATACCTATGTGTATTTGAAATAATAAGTACTTCAAGTACACACTAAAAAGGAAATGAAATTATTCAATGATTTTTTTTTTAATTGTATTGAAAGCTGAAAATACTTGTGATACCTCTAAAAAAGTAGGTACCACAGAGATTCCAGATTCCAAGATTCCAATTGCAGATTATGATGATTTTAGTTACTTTCAATTTAACGATTTAAAATTTATCTAGAAAAGGTTGATTAAGAAATAAAGTGCAATGGGATTGTTTTAAGGTAGGTACCTATTCATTAAGGAAAATAAACTTTTACAAAAAATAATATTTAAACTCAAGAAGCAAAATCTATGAAACCTATCCAAGGATTTTATATCTACACTGGTATCCTCTGCACATTGAAGAATTTCCAGTTCGAAATTTCTTTTAAGTATTGTTATTTTTAAGACTCTCTGGGGAGTGGGAACCATCCAGTTCAAAAAAATCGTTATTCATATCTGCTGATGTAGCATTTTCTTCGATGCCTGATATGTTTGTTGTTAAAATATTTTTTGTATCTCTACATTTTCATCTGCCTTTATTACTACAAGTTTTTGTACGTATGAATTTAATATTGCCAAACCTTCGCATTGATGCCGAAATACTTGTTAGGACCTATTAATTTCACATTATGTGAAGTATTTGAATTACTTTAAGTATTTCGAGTACAAATGCCCAGTATTTGAATTACTTTTTTTGTAAATCCAAGTATCAAATACAAATACTTTATTTAAAGTATTTACAGAATCAAGTACAAATCTCCAAACACAAAAGTATTTGAATTATAGTACATACTTCAAATACTAAAAAGTAATTGAAATACATTTTCCAAATAATTTACTTGAAGTACTAACAGCTATGCAAATAGACTAGGTTTTTTAGGTTTATTTTTCATAGTCCAGCCTCTGAATATCCTATTTTGAAGAAATAAAATGGATTTTTTATATGAATATATTATATTTTGTTGGTGGTTTCTATACTTCACCTTTTTTAATAGAATATTTAATTATTCTACCCCTTTTTGTCCTATTTTCTCCTGGACTATAAGGAATAAACCTAAAAAACCTAGTATATTTGGAATCAGGTTTGAAATGCAATCCAATGGGACAATAATAGACGGGGTTTTCCATTTAAAAAAGTATAACTTTGCTTCGCCACACTTTTGTGATACACCCTGTATACTTGTAACTAACATCATTGAAAACTTTCTGATAATTACCTACAACTTTCACATTTGACATTTCTGGGTATCTCTCCAAACAGGTGAGATAAATGTGAGTGCAAAATATAGACAATCACCCGGTACATTTCGATTCCAACTCTTGTCGATGTCTTCTGTGTTTGTAATTTCTTGGCTTCGGCGGATGGTATATTTTTTGAGCTTGATATTCTGATTCTCAGCTTTGCTCTAACAAGAATATGGTCAGAGTCCGCGTCTGCCCCTCGACAGTTTCTTACGTCCTTCCATGCCTTACATCAATTTCGACGTGTTCAATTTGTTTTTTGGTTCAACCGTCATTGGAGGCCCATGCCTCTTTATGGATATCTTTATGTTCATACATTGCAGATTTAATAAGGAGGTTGTTGGATGCTGCTAGCTCCGCAAGTCTCAGTCTATTATCACAGCATATTATCATGTGAGAATATGTGTAGGCTTTTTGTACCCACGTGGGGCCTTAATGCCGCTTCTCTTCCTAGCTTTGCATTAAAATCTCAATTCACAACCGCGTGAGGTGGGGTGGTTAGCCTCACTCTTAACCCTCCTCTTTTATCCAAGCTTGGGACCGGCAATGCGGGAGAGCCACTCAATCCTCCCCTCAGATGCCCGGACCCTGCTGGTCAGCAATTGAGTATTTATTGATAACTGGTACAATCTCTTTTTGTTTTCCGTATCATTAACTTTTATTGATCCACTGAAAAGATGAAGTAAAAAAGAGGTCCTCGCAGTAATTTGTATTCAACTTTTAATGAACCCACCAAAATTGCTTTAATTTCAAGCAAACCTTTATAGAAAAATCTTTCAAAAATTAATTTATGACAACATTTTTCCATAGAAATTCAACTTACTCCTGAATATTGAAAAATCTATTGAAAGCATTATAGTATAGATACTGAAAAAAGTATAAATTGATATAGTCGATTATCATTACGAAAATAATATTAACTGAACAACCCAATTTACTGTTCAAATAACTGAACAAAGATAAAAATGGCTTACTTGAACCATTGTGTCAACTTGTATACTCAAATCGTTTCTTTTTCTTTTCAGGTGTTAGTACAACATCCCTCCCAAGGCAATCACCATGGTCCCAATCCTTAACGCTGAATCGAACAGCGTGAAAGGGTGAATTTCAAATAGAAAATGTTATTATTTTTAGATAGTAAGGATTACCCCACGTGGTTTTGTCTCCTTACCTGAAACCGAACAGTTGCAGGCAAAATTTAGATTTATCAATCAGAGTTACTTAGAAAATGGGTTTGTAAAAAACAGCGTAACTTTCTCAACAAGGGATATAAAAAAGGCCTGAAGAGCCTTGACTTGATAAACACTTCACTGAATCATTATTAGTTCGGTGGTGTGGTTTTTGGTAGAGTTAATACCAAATGTAGAAAGTTCGCTTAACATTTCAAAACTTTAATTGAGGCTGTCCCAATTTTGCCTGCAACTGTAAGGTTTCAGTTAAGATTCATCGTCACTATCATTTTCTGAAGACTTTGGGTTTGTGAGACAAAATGAGTTATTTGAATTTAAATTAAAGGCCAAACAATGTATTGTTTTTAGAAAAATAATTTAACAACAAAATAAATTTCTGAAGGTGAAAAAACATCTATTTTTTTTTTAGTTTATCCATCCAGAATAGTGTTCGAGATTTTTCAAGATTGACAATTATTGTAACTTTTCTGTTTATCTACAAGCAGCTTATTGTTTTTGCAAACCCGATTCTTCTTATTCTAAGTATTTAAAAACTCTTCAAAGTTAGCAGTTAGTAAACAAATTTCCCATTCTAGTAGAAATATATTTTTCCTTATTTTTTCCATTATTAGCTTACTTCCTAAAAATGCTTTTTAATGTAAAATAATTTATGAACTACGGGAACATGAAAAAAATTATCAATTGGTGTTTTTCAAATTGAATATGTAAATTAAATTGAAAAATACTGAAACAAGTTGTATATTAAAAAGCATTTCTTTCATTCCATATGCTATTTAAGTTTCTTTGAAATATTGAGACCGTGTGGCAAAGACCTTTTCAAATTGTAAAAAAAATTATATTTTGAACTTCAATCTAAATTCAATAACGCAGAGATACATTGTTTTCATATTTTTTTTCTGGAATTTTTGAATATGACACTTGATCAAATTGGTCATTGCTAAACTATTTGGTCAGTTTACTTATACAAATGAATATAGGCCCTAGCTCATCAGATAAATGGGATAATATGTATCATAACACCTTAGCTGCGATTGTTCAAGGCATGGTTAAATATGATAAATAAATATTTCATCAGAAATATTACTGAACAATTTAGGACAAAATGAAGCCCAAGTTATGAACGACTCGTAGAGACAAAAAATATATATGTATATAGAAACTTGTGTAAGAATAATATCCCTTTTTTCTCTATTGTTCATTTCTTTGATTCCAAAAACCAACTCTGACTCTTATAAAATTGATTTCATTTTTGGAATACAATAATTTAAGATTTTATGCTTGAAAACCTTTTAAACACTCCTGAAATCGGTACGAGTCTGACAATATCGGTTTTAATAATAAATTGGTAGCCACATCTAGCATACATAAAGTCAAAAGTTCCATCAAACAATAAAGGTCAAATATTATCTGATTCCCTGTTCTAAGCTTAGGTGAGATCAGATTAAACACATCAAAATCTGAGACCTAATCTGTAGCATCAAAACAATGTTTTTCCTGCATTTACTGAAATACTATTAAACAAAAAATCTCTATAAGATGTTCTTAATATTAAAAAACTATCCTATTTTCAGTACCTACATGGTTGTCATGGTGTGGATTTTACCTGTGAAATCATTCCTAAAAGACCATATATGATTTCAAGGCCTAATCCTAAATTCGAGATTTTTTTATAAACAATGGTACATGAAAAATATATTGTCAAATACACGATCCAATCAAAAGCCTTCTTCTATCCTTTTCCTTCTAAACGAAATATTACAGCAAAAAAATTGTTAGTTTTTTTTTTTTAGATAGTTATATTATTGTTATTGCATTTTTTTGTTAATAGTCATTTTTTGAACTTTTTCATTTATTATGTACTGTCACTTTTGTTTCTATCTTGTTTTGATAGAGTTTAATTAATCGTCTTTTTTCATCATTATTAGCAATTAATTTAGTTAGATGTGTGTTGAGTGGTATTTTGTATTTTTGAAAATTTCACAACACACATTTTCATTTGTGCCTATGATCATCAAAATGTAGACGACGCGACCTCTGTAAATTGAAAGTTTTCTAAACATTTTTGTTTTTATAATATATTTTTTGAGGCCATCTACATTTTGATATTTAGACAAAATAATTTTTAAAAATACCAAATACAACCCCAAAGAGGTGTACCTCGAAATTGGTACTAAAATTAAATTTTTAGAAAGGCAAAAAAGGCCTTCTAGCATAAATAACATGTGGTTCCACGTCCTCACGCACTCTCCAGCTGGTTGGACAAATTTAATGCGTGGACTGATCATAAATATTCGGACCTTCATTATTATTTATTTTTTTTTTTTATTAAAAAGTAAATTCAAACGAAATACAACTATCAAATATGCGGGTAGACGCAAAGCGCATTGAAAGTAAAAAAGGTGCCTTAGTTATACAGGGTGTCTTCCAATAAGAAAAAACTACCCTAATGTTCCATGACTTAATAGCAATAAATAAACGCAAATCATGTAAAAAAAAGCACCCTGTATATCTTATAATAATAATATAATGTTTGTTAAGAATAATTAATTTATATTTGATTTTTTTATATATTGTGAATTGTAAATGTATTTCGGCACCCGTACATTTTGTTCGTAACAATTATCATCAGTAATTCATTATTACATTCTCAGATTCAAACAAAGTATTTTCACTTTTTTGTTTCATATTAATTTTCATTTACACTTTTGGTTGAAAATACAAAAAGTATTTTCAATTCTTACTTTGCCAAAAAAATTTCTTTTTCCAAGGAAAAAATGAAAAATAATAAAACTGGAAAAAAAAAATAAAAAAAACCGATTTTCCTGTTCAAAGTTTATTTTCGATTTTTTTTATTACAAATAAAAACATTTTTGGTTTATTTGTAAAATGGCGTAGTTTGATTTTGACCCCTAATTCTTCAGTCAAATCTTTTGTTTTGTTGTTCCTCAATGCTTTCAACATTCATTTAGGCAACCTCAATCCTTAATAATCTGGAGAGCAATAAAAATTGCTAGTGTTTATTATACTGAGTAAGTGTTCATGTTCTGTATATTGTTTTGTTCGTAAAGAATCCTGCTTTTTATTAATGGTGTGAAGTTGATCCATCTTATTTTATATATTTCTCATTAAGTTCATTAAATACAAGTACAATTACTACAAATAACTTGTTTCTGCTGAAGTCATGAAGGGTAACTTTGAATGTTGGTAGATCCTAGTTAATGGACTGCTATCAGTGATCAATTCAAACTTACGGACAAAGAGAAACATGTTAACCGAAAACATAATAGCAAGTGCTAAGCAGTTGATTGATTGATTGATTGATTTGATCAACAGCAGCAAGGTAAGGTATAGTGATTCCCTGACACTGCAGCTAGTTAGCTTATTGTATCCCCTGCTGTGTGACATATCTCTATTTCATGTATTTCGGATTCGGATACGGTGGTGTGCTTCCACAGCGGAGAATACCATTTTGATCTTGGGGATAGGCCATATACTCCGGCACCGGTTCCATTGTCGGTTTTGGGATCATCGGTGTCCATACTAAGTTTCTATTCTGAGCTAATGAGTTTTCTATTTTATTTTCCCAGTTAATCTGGGTTTGAAACGGTTTGTGAGTATTTATTCTTGGAGTCATTATGTCACTTCTCATCTCATATAGCGAGTTTCTAACAATGTTTGATATCCGTACGTTCAGATGTTCTTCTCAGATTCCAGTTCTGGCTACAGTTGAGTCTGTAGGCCACCATTCTTCCCTCAGCTCTGATAATGATATCAAGTGGTGGGAGGTTTAGTATTGTTTCCATAGAAGCAGTTGGAGTGCTTCCTCATTGTACCCATTATGCAGAGACAAGCTAGTCTTTGAAGTTTGAATATCTCCATTATTGCTTTGCTCTGTTCGACTTTTAGCCACCAGACTATTGATCCGTAGGTTATTCTGGGTCTTATTACCACTACTGTATAGATCCAATATACTATGTAGGGTAGAAATCCCCATGTTTTTCCCACTGCTCTTTTGGTGGCCATACACGCCATTTTACCTTTTTTGGTGGTGTATTCAATATGGGCGTTTCAGGGTAGTTTTACATCCAGGATAATTCCTAGGTTTTTGACTTCCCAAACTAATTGTCATTGCTTTCCAAAGAAAGTGGGGGGGACTAGATCGTCCAGTTTCCTTCTTTTCGTGAAGGGGATTATAGCTGTTTTCTCAGGGTTAACACTCAGGTTTGACCCAATCTTCCACGATTTTAGGCGTTCTTTGCATTTTTGCAGAAGTAGTTTGTAAGTTTTTCTTCATGACTACGGTTACTACATCATCTGAATAACCCTGGGTATAATAATATTTCTATTATTAAGGTCTACTAGAAGTTCATCTACAACCAGGTCCCACAGTAGGGGGGATATGACCCTACCCACCCTGTGGGCAGCTTTTTGATAAAGACATCTCCATTGTATCATTATTTAGAGTAGCTTGAACTGAATTGAAGTAGTACGAAGCATGTTATCAATCCATCTGGGCTGGGATTCTGTAATAAATAGAGACATTTTCTCTATCTTTATTGACGTCCCCTCTCTATTGATTTCTTCAAGAAGAGAGAAGAAGACAGTAGGTGCCATAGCGATAGGGATAACGATCTCTATCCATTACAAACTTCCAGTCCTGGGTCCTTATTCTCGACAGGGGAGCAGCGTTCTCATGAGAACGAAGTTTCTGTCTTCGTCACCCATATTTATATTTCCATAACACTGAAAAAAAAACAGAGTAATCGTTCTCATGAGAACGCTGTTCCTCGGTTTCAAATCAAATCAAATGAAAATATGCTTTACTCTTATTGTTACGAAGAACATCATCAGTTCTCAACACTGAGAAAAGTCCCAGGAGAAAATTCTTTGCTGGTTTTTTTTTAGCTGTTACAGTGGAAAATGTTTTAGAGGTAGCAATGTTATTTTGCTTCTACAAAAAAGACCACTTTGCTGAAACTACTTTATTGAAACTGCAAAGATATTTCTTATTCCAAAACCAAACTTTGCTGTTATAGCAAAATTCAAATTTTATGAAAATATTTCTGCTTCTCCGAAATAGAACTTTTCTAAGATAGATAGATACTTTACTGTTGCAGCAAAAAAAAATTCCTGTAATTTTTGTTATTGTTACAGTAATGTTTTTTGCTACCCTAGCCAAATAACTTAACTAAAAATACCGTTCGGACATTTCCGTGATTTCTTCGGGTCCAAAAATAACCGATAAAATATGTTTCGTGTTCATTTTCTTCCATTTTAGTTTAGTAGCTAACGCCGTACGGTGTGGATCGTGGATGCTGTCGAGTCAAGTCGAGTGTCGGTCGCTGGGAATATTTTTGGAAATGGTGCCAGCGCATCCATCAAAACTAGCAGAAACAACTCTAGCGCCAAACTTTTCATTAATTGACATTATTTCAGATCAGGTAATGAAAGTTTAGGGGTTTAAATAGAGTTTGTTTATCTCCTGGTTTTGTTATGATGGACGCGCTACTACATATTTCCAAAGATTTCCAGCAAAATATTTTTGCTATTGGTGAGACAAATAACTTCCCATGGCTACTAAAACACTTGGCTGATTCTGGCAAAAAATTTTTTGTTCTGAGACAAACGCTTTCCTATTTCAGGAAGCATTTCTAATAACAACAACAAATATCTTTTCTGTCTTAGCAATCTACTTTTCAATAGCAAAAAAGGATGTTTTTGAGAGTATATAACCTCTTTTCCAGGACAGCATAGTTACTTTCCTACGACAGCAAAGTAGCTTTTCTATGCCAGCAAAGTGACCTTGTAGAAACTGTGAGTAAATTCTTTATAAAGTCACTTTGCTACCGCAAATAAACGGTGCCAGTAAAGTTATCTTTTCGGCGGTAGTAAAGATCTTGGCTGTCCCCTATGTAGCCAAAATTTTTGGCTACGGCAGCAGAAAAATTAGCTATGACAATGAAAAAATTTTCTCAGTGAAGAACAAAGCTGTATTATATAGGGTGACTGGTAAGTGGACGTATTCCTTTGAGGAGGTGAAAGTATAGTCCATTTGCTACCGATTAAACATCATTTACCTCTATAATACCATTCTCAACGGTTTTTGAGAAATTTTTTATTTTTATATTTAAGAAATTCACTTTTTTGGGAGGTAAATATTTAAAATTAACGAAATTATAAGGAACATACCTTATTTAGGTAAATGTTAACACCAATATTTGATAACATTTCTATAGTAACACTTGGTATTAAAAAAAAATCGAGTAATTTTTTCTTCATATTGGTTACTCTTACAAATAAAACTTATTTATTTAATAATAAAATAAAAGACTAATTCTGAAATAATGTGCCTTATTCTGAAGACAATTATATCGAGAACTTTTATTAATAATTTGTACGTTTGATGTACTATGAAATTTTCGAAATTTTTAAGCAGTAACCATTAGTCTGTAACTTGACAAGGAAAGTTAAGTTTAAGCCGAAATAATTTAATAGTTAATATTATTGTTTCAATAATTTTCAATGCTAATATTTATGTAAGTGTATCAGCTTATAATTTAAAAAGCGACATTTAAAATGGCTTTTATTATTTTCCTTAATTTTAAATATTTACTGGGCAAAGGAGCCAATTTCTTGGAAATTAAAAAAGAATAATTATCTCAAAAACTGTTGAGAATGTTATAGAGGTAAATGATGTTTAATCGGTAGCAAATGGGCTCTACTTTCACCTCCTCAAAGGAATACGTCTACTTACCAGTCACCCTGTATATAAAAAGAAAATGGTTAAGTGGGGCAAGTGCAATTTGAGGCAACTGCAATCTTTCAGAAAAGAGCGATTCAGCCTATAGTGTAGTCAAGTTATCGGAATTTAGGTCCAACTTCTGAAAAAATTATATACAAATGTTTATGAGTGGGAACATACAGATAATGTGGCTCTAGATGACATACTAAAAGTGTTCTGTGCTAAAAGTTCCGTAGATTCTGACAATGGCAAGTTGAAAAAAAGTGGCCGCCAATAGCTTTGTTTGTTTATTTGCACCAATATGGCACTTTCTACTCCAAATGTATTTTAATCCCTATATTTTTGTTAGTCTGACAGAGACAGACTGATTTTTTGCTGCACCTGGTGCAGCTTGGTGTAACTTTGGTGCAAATAAACAAACATACCCATTATGATCGTCTCGACCGGCTGCTGCGGTTTATTAGAGCAGGAAGATCAGGCAACTTCACAATTACTGTTTAAAATTGATGATCCCAATATTTTACTCAACAGGTCATAATAATTATTCCTAAAGTACCCACCTTTATCTACAACAGATTCAGAAACTTCATAATAGGTATGAGTCAACTATGAAAAATTTGTTGATGAATGGACCGACATAGTGATCGAGCAGAATTTGATGCGGTCAATCAACACAACTGGTGGCCTAACTCATGGACGCGGATTTACTAATTCGTCTTTGGCCAGAACCATAGAGAAATATAATAAACCAAGGTAAGAGTTACCGATTCATATGCGCCAAGTGGCAACGTATTTCTTGTAGCCCATGGTGGCGCTAGTATAGCTTGGAACTTTCTGACAATTCTGACATCGCCTTGCATTTTTATATCTGTCTCTTTTTAAGAGATGTCATAATAAAGGAAGAGAGGAGTGAGAGGACATAGGGTTTTTTATTTATTACATTGCAATTTCTAACCTATAAATTGACATTTTCATTTTTCAAAACTGACAGGAAACGGTTTTGGAACTGTTAGGATCGATTGCAGGCGCATGCGTTGACCTTGCACGGTTTTATCTTGGTACAGAAACAACGGGTAGTTGGAACGGTTTCATGACCGTTTTCGTAATGACGTTTGACAGTTCAATTAACTTAAAACCTAAATTTGTTTGTTTGCAAATTAAAATAGAAGATAGAAGAATATACGATTACAAAATAATTTAATAAGGATAAAAAAGGAAAATCGAACACCAACGCTGATGATGCATTATCAAGAATCTGAAACTGAAATCTTTGCAAGCTGATAACATCAAGAACCAGCAAATAGCTGACAATAAATTTTAGACTTTTTTTCACTTGAAAAAATAAAAATGCTACAGTTTTATAAGTTAGATTGGAAATTGATTGTTTAACAACAACATGAACAACAACAACAGGTGACAAAAATTGAATTACGCATGTCAGTCATGGATCAGTCCACGCGGTTCTTGCTTTCCACTCGGGATCGAAATGACGGTGCTAAAACCAGTTCTCGAACGATCTTAGGTTTGGTTGGAACGCCAACGAAACTGTACGGTAAACGATCGTCTCTCGGTTGGAACGCGTTTAACCTATGGCGCATGACCGTGACCGTACATTGAACGGTTTTTGGCTGGGTAGGAACGAACCTTTAAGTGAACCTAAAATTGATTAGTTTATTAAAAATACATGATTCTGGTAAGATTTAGAATGTGAAAATCGTTGAGTTCATGCATAAAGAATGATAATTAAATATTACCCTAACATTACCTACTGTTTTTGCTTTTTTTTGTTGTATTTTTTTTGCATTTTATTAGTTACAAAGTTATATTTATGTATAATTTAATTTTTATTATTCTTTGTTAAATGTCAAAGATCAAAATATATAAGGCGATTTCGCCCCAGACTTTGTATGGTACATTTTGAGGCGAGTACCAAACTGAGGCGAAATCGCCTATAGATTACTTCCTGAACATTTTTTGATTATTTATTTTTGTTTCCCGG